TATATGTAGCTGAAATAAATAGTTTTTTTACCCCTTGCCTTCACCACCTTGCTCCGGCTCCTATAAACTTTTTTAAGTGCAGATATAAAGAATAAAATATTATCAAGCAGATTCTTTTTTCAAAGACTGTCCCAGAAGTGACAGAATTATATATTTTTCTACCCCTCTCACCTTCCCTCAAACACACACACACACATACTTTGACACAGCCCTTCCCATACATTTATGTTAAATTTGTCAAACCACATTGTGCCCAAGTCTGCCGGTGTATTAACACCACACAATCCCCACCCTGCACCCACCTTCATGCTCTCTTCATCTTTCTGTCTCCCCTATACTTGCCACCCTCCCGCCCTGCTGCATTCCTATACATTCAGCTGCTGCATAAATACACCACCTGCTTTAATGAAGGTAAGGATTCCATTCCTATGCAGAAGCTCTTTCCTTTAGCTTGTGCTGTCTCAGCTAGGTGAAGAAAGTGTGGAGAGACAGAGAGGAAAGAGGCTCATGGCTATCCATTTATACATATTTCATACCTGGCATTAAAAATGACCCTCTGAATTACTAATCATGCCAGATGATTCAGTTGCAGCTGGCACCAATGTGAACATCATGTTGAAATATATATATTCATATTTCTTTTTAATGTATTAATTGGATTTACTTGTAAATGTGCATTATTTCTGTGCACGATCAACAGTCAGCTGTTTAATCATTAAAAGTTGCCCCGTGTATGCAGAGTTTGCGAGCATATGGCATTTAAATATGTCTGAGTGCCTTCACGTGCACATATGTGAATTATCTCTGCAATAAATAAATAAATAAAACACCAGAATAATGAAGGCATCTTTCAAGAGATGACATGCCGAATACATATGCATTTTACAAAGGCTTCTGATGTACCTCTAAATGATTTTAATGAATACTGAGGAGCTGTGGAACAAGAAAGAAAAAATAAGATTGACAGAGGCTTTAAAAAGGAGGAAGCCTTTTTTCTGTGCTCGCTAATGCCGTCTGTCTGACAGTGACTGTCATTTGTAAGGGAACAATGTTGTGCTCTGTTCCAACAGCTACATGACAACGATGAGAAGAAATACTTCAGTAGTTCTAATGATGGACTTTAGAAACAGCTCAGCTTCAGAGAGTGGGAGACTGAGCACCTTTCATATAAATAACAGGTTGGCCAAGATGCTCATACGCCGTATTTTAACATATACACCCCTTGCGTACGCGCTGCACAACATTTTCAGGCAATCACCAGCCCAAACAAGAGCTCCCGTGTTTACCAAATGGATTCTGAGGTCTTCCTCACGCCCCCTCCGCCCCACAACAACAAGATAGGTTTGCACACATTTTGAATGGGCATTGTATTCATCAATCACAAAAAGTTTGAAGCACAAAAAGAGACCCTTCCATTAAACTACAGCTGTCTACCTTTTGCTGACAACACAGCCTTGAACCCAGCATCCCAATCTACCCACCCACCTTTTCACTGACATCAAACAGAACCTCAGACCTGGTTCCCTAATGCAATGCTATTTTTAACTAAGCGTTTCTAATAAGCTGCTGGGAAGCTGTAAATTTTTCATATGCAAGCACATATTTCCTTTGTGAAAACACAGAAACACACTTATTTGGTGATTAGCGACTGACAGAGGGGAGGAAAGGAACTGAATATGCTTGTATCAAATTGCATGCCTTTCAAAAAGGAGGAATCCTAATGCGAGGAGTCGTCTTCCTGTGCACCACAGGTATGAGTGAATTATTAATCGGCCAGCTCATTTTAATGCTTTTTAAAGTGCTTTATTTTGATGTGCTAAAACATACTTTTAGCCATATTCAGTCAGGCATGCATATCATTATTTCTTCCATCAAAGAAGAGTGTCGCCCTTTCAAAGAGCACAAACAACTCAGCCTCATTTAAAATAGAAGTTCGAATATCAAAGACATTTTACAAAGCCTGGGCTTCAAACACTGTGATGAGTTTTTTTCTTTTTTTCTTTTTTTCTTTTTTTTGCTGCACCTTATAAAAACTTAGGTATGCAAAAGGTCTGAATTGTTTTCCAGCTTTTAACCTGACTAGTGTAAATCAAAACATCCTGCAGTAACACAAGAAGTTAGACAAGTGAGAAGCATCTATCCAAGCCCGTTACTGCTCAGTGTCACGATTATGAGAAATCTCTCTACTCAATAGGAAATGTCTTGACTGCCAGCCTTGTTTTCCGAACACAGACAAGTGAAATAAACTGGGCATAAAAAAGAAAACTCGGGCCATTTTTTTTTCCTTCTCAGAAACCAGAGCAGAATCAGTAAACAGAGCTTTTCATATATAATTAGATCCAGTGATGCACATACAGAACGCGCTGTGGGGGGGTGTAGTTTTACATTAAGCTTGTTCGTCATTAAACTTGTGCTTGAGACAGTTTTTCGTTCATTTTCTTATTTCAACCAATCTAATTCCACACACGCTCCAAGTGTCATTAATTCAGCACCTATAGCAGTGCATTCAGTACAACTACAGTAACTTTCAGCAGTAAACTATTTCTTCCAGTTGCAGTGCAAAAAAAAAAAAAAAAAATTCACAACCGCTACAAGAACATAAACTTCTTCTGTTATGAGTGCTATCATCTGTTATGGTCAATAATCTGTCAAAATAATATAGTGCTTCCCAGAAATCCCTCCAACTATCCCACAAGTTCTACATGATGGAAAGTTTAGGGTTCAATGCTGTTTTCACTATACGGCATGATCACTGGTGGTCCAACTAAATAAATTAGGTAAGTAAATAAAAGCACATGCATTATCGTGAACTGTATTTACATTAATAATGCCCTCTGATGTGAAAACATTTGTTATAGTAGAACATCCAATGCATCTTGAAAAGTTTACAGCAGATAAATGCAACCTGCCCTGATCAGAGAGTGCTGACGCCCAAAGCTCCTCCCCTCACACTAAACCCAACCCCCTGCTTAGGAGCCAGCACCTATCAATAAAGAGGACCAGAGATAAAACCATCCTGATCTGATAAGGGAAAACACAGGTAAGTGGTGTCAATGTTCTTCTGTGTGTACAGCAAATTTGAGAAGGGGGCAGTGCTATTCAAGTGTATGTGTGTGGCACACTGGGAGTTACACATGCAGGCCCTGCTCTTCACATCACCCACTGATCAAAGACAAAACATGGGTCACATGTTACCTGAACTTATTACTTAAATTGACAGCTTATTCTAACTGTAGCTGATGAGATGCCTGGGAACATGCAGCATGAAAGAGCAGCCTTTGAAAACTAGATTAGGGAGTTTTGAGAGTATTTTCAATGCTTAGAAAGGCTTTGAAACCTTTGTTAAAATATGTTTAATTTAATTTGGCAAAAGGCATGTTGCTTAGCAATGTTCAGCTGCATGGCCACGTGAATCATGTGAGTAGTAGTCCCTAAATGTGTGTAAATATGAGCCTTACCTGTCCCTTTGGTGAGCTCCTTCTCCCCCCCACTTTCTCTGTCTTTGGTTTGGTCCTCCTGGTCTGTGGTGGTCTCACTAGCAGCCTCCACATCCTCGCTCAGCTCTCCTGAAGGGGGAGGGAGAACGGGATATGTAAATCACCACGCCATCAGAATTGGTGGAAGCACTTAAAGGGGCGGTAGCGTTTTTTTTCTATAGGAGCTTGCAACAATTACATTTGCTGACACACAGTTGCAAGGCTAGCAGACAAAGAGGGCAGAATCTGCTTTCTGTCCTGTGCTGTCTGATTATCTCTGTTAAAAAATAATTCCAACTTGAATAAAAAAAAAAAATCTGAGCTGAATTATAAGGGGGGAGGAAAGTCGAATATCCACTCTTTCTTTTTATTGCTATTGTTGTGTGTATGTATTCAAAACAAAAGACACAAGGACAATTCTCTGTGTTTAATGTGTAGATAAAACTAAAAGCAAGCACACGGGTGCAAATGGCCAGATGGAAAAATAATTGAGCAGTACAGTTCAAGAAAAAGACCCCCATTTGCTTCCTCTCATAACGCACACACACGCACGCGCACACAAACACGCGCGCGCTGCAATCTGTTAGGTTACTTACCAATACAAACCTCATTTCACTTCTGCTATCCCACTATAGCAAATAAAATAAATCATAAATATTTAAAACTTTCAGAGCCACAATTCATTTTATTTTTAAGCCAAGTCAAAGGCAGAAATCCCCTGTAACCACCTTAAAAGCCTCAGCTCGATATATCAGGCCATTTAGAGCATCGAAGTCCAAACAATGGATATCCAATAACGCCATTTGTAAGTAACACACAGAGGAAAAGATAGCAAAAACAGATAATAAAAAGGGCATCAATCTTGTTTATTTCCCTCCAGTGCCCCCTGAACATCCCCTTTGCCTGTTAAGTTTGTTTAAAAGTAGTGTGACTTGCATGGAATAGCATTGATTTGACAACAGTAAACTAGGCCGCAGTCAATAGGCCCTATCAGTTATTATACAAGTCAGCTAATTCTCAGCAAATGTACTTAAATGCTCTTTTGAAAATGCTTTCATGCATAGGTCTCTACTCTATGAGCTATTGATATATTGACAAAGCTACAACAGCTACTGAAATATCCTGTTCAAGTATTCAGCCCTGCAGTCATCACACATCTAATCTAAGCTCACCACATGAGTACCCACAGCCAAAACCATTTTTATGACAGTACATTTTCCCCAACACTCACTGTTTAGCCTGTTAGTTATGAAACAGAGCCTATGTTGTATACACAACAGGTACGTTTCTCAAACTCAAACTATGTATCATTATTACAGACACACTTAATAACCATACATCTCTAAACCATGTGGCTGTTCCTTTACTGATGACAATGACACATAAATAAAATAGATCTTAATTTATTCTGCTGAATGGGTTTTAAAATTCCTTATGCAAATCAGTCATATTTATAACTGGAAAATACATTAGAAAAAAATTATCGTTTTGTTATATGACTTTTTTTAGATAGTTGCTTAAGGAGCTTTTTCCACTTTTCTTCATCGCGTATTTATATTTATCGCCATTTTTTTTTTTTACGGTTCTCTTAAGTATACACTATAGCTACAAAACCATAAGGGGGTGCTTATATCAACTGTGATATTTTATTATTCTAAGCACAAATGCACAGTTAAGAATAAGTTTTTATTTAATCATAATCAGCTGCAAAAAACCCCTCAAAACAACAACAAAAAAGTTGCATTACTGTGTTTCTTTTATGTTTCCAAGGGACTCTATGAATTCCTTCCGGTACTGGTGAGCTGGATCTTAAACATTCCCAAAAAACCCAGAGATCTGCTGCAGAGTCCCAAAATCCTATAACTCCTACCTGCATAAATCTCTACAACAGTCTGAGAATTAGGATACTGTACAGCTGCATAGGTGCTCAGATTACAAAATAATCCCCAGGTAAATTTTTTTCACCTTTAAAAACGGGGCAAGGTGTCATTTCTTAGCTATGTGACACTTGTAGTGAGACTAATTCCCCACCTACACATTAATACACACTTTGTGCTTAAACATTTCTCTGATAGGCAGCCAGCATTCTAATGCTAAGCTTCTCTGTAACCGCCCCACCTACTCCCAACTTCCTGCACACATGCTATACATGAGCACGCTGGTACTGATGTTTTTCCCTTTTCCCCACTCATGTTTTTCACACTTTCTTTTTAGATGTTTAATGATCATATCACTTTTGGCACACAGAACACATTTATAATTTATGCAGAAATGCAGACATTTCATTCCAGGAGTACCGTTACATCTTTAAGTGGCAAATGGCTTTGCCCATTTCTCATCTCATCTACAACTAGTATTACAGAATGATTAAAGCTGGGGCCAGCTATAATTAATGAAAGGTCACGAGTGGCCTAAGAGTAGGATGCAAATGGTAGAGACACTAAAACTGTAGCCATAGATTAGCTCAGAAAATAGATTAGGAGAAACACTCAAAGCTATGGCAGCAGGCCATTTCTAACCCAAATCTGAGAGATGTAAAGGACAATAGCCTGAAGGTTGTCTTCTAATTAATTGTCTTCATTAACCATCCTAATACAATGATATGAAACAGTTCCATTAATCTAATCATGCAAGCTGAAAAAACCCATTGCCGACACAGAGATTACACTCATCTGTTCTGAGCATGAAAAATATCAGCTTTGCTCTCCCAGTCACTCAGTGGGGACAATTCATGGGCTCCCTCACAGACAGACAGACGCACGCACACACTCCTACATTGTGTAGGTGCTTAGCGGTCTTCCTCTCTTGTGTTTTGCCAGTGAGTGCAGAGGCTTAATCAGACCCATAGGTGTCACTCTATACAAGCTGGGCGAGAGCAACTTGCTCACACACACATTAATGAGGTGAGGGGAGGGTGGTGGTGGTGGGGGGATAGGGGCCGAGCAGCAACAGACAGAAACACATGGGGAAGGGGAAAGGGAAGAAATATGTGGAGATGACAAAAGCAGATGCTATGCAAAAGCTGTCTGGTGACGATGAGACACTGAAAATGGCAAGATTACCTTCAGATGAGAGAGAGCAGCCTTCCTTTTCCCCTGAAGAGCAGTGATTACACTAATGCTAATCAGACTGACAAGCACAAACGGCCTAATAAATAATTGATGGTAACCACTGCACTTTCCAGTATTTCTTCCCAGACTGTGGAGAAGAGCAGCAGCAAGTAATAATAGTCACTCTAGATATCTTTCACTAGGTCAGGCTCCTCCTCCATCCTCGGCCTCAGCAGAATATAATGCTGTGATGATAACTGCCTTTCTTAAAGTACAGAATTCCAGTCCTACCTGAGAACGGCTCCAGTGTTCCTCAAACGGCAGTGACAGTCTGCTCATTTTTAGTTGCATATATAGCATCTCAGTCACTCCACTGTCTTATTTATCTCGCTTGGGTTTCGTAAGTCATGGAGCACCAGCGCGGGGGCAGAGCTCAGCTTCTCCCTCTCCCCGGCTCTCGAGTACTGGGAGCGAGGGCTGAGCTGCGCTTCTCTCTGGGCTCTTGTGTGGAGCCGTGCGTCTAAGCTCTCATTACTCTCATTATGATTATTGAGGCTGTTGTTATCATTTTAACCAGGTGTCACAGGACTGCACTGTAAATCAGAGAGGTGTGCTTCCCCCGCTTTATCCAGAGCCGGACAGCTTCCTTTTCTTTAGCGCTGCACTGTCGGATAAAAAGCAATCTTATTTCACACTTCAGAGACTCTATCTTTCTCCCCTTCTCCTTCTTTTAAAAATCCCCCTCATGCTCCCCAGCATCCCTTGCACCCCTTCCTCATATCAAAGTTAGCCTGACTCTGGACTAGAGGGCGCAAAATGAAAGTGACAGGAGGGTACCATGGGACAATGAGACACAGGACTCATGCTGAGGGCTTTCATGCATTGTCCGCTCCTCATATCAGCACCTCTGTGCCCCATACGCAAGACACCACCCCCCCAAAAAAGCACAACACACAGGAAAACACTCCCACCCCTCGTAACTCCCCTCTCAACACATACTCACAGAAGCTCTGAAGCTACACCTCATAAAACCACAACTGAGCAAAACATGCCCACAACACTGTCAGACACAAGCGGGGCTTTTGCTCATGAACGACCAATAAACCACAACACGGTACTATCAGTAACCATAATGGCCTCTGCACTACAATACATAGGGCTTAATTAAAATGTGGACACATGCAATACTGGAAAAACAACAACTGCTTTTTAAGTGAGTTGCAAGATATTCTTACTGATTTCTGTGTAGTATTTCAGTTGTAATGAGTCATATAGACCTCAGTTATGAAATGCATTTAAAATTTAGCCATGCATTCAAAAAATAGATCAGTGTACCAAAATATACATTAATCCACGAAAGAATCAATGTAGTAAAATCCAGAAACTACACCAAGCACTGCGCACAAAATGAAAGCTCATCTGTCCCTGTACTCTTCTCACTCATGCTCTTACTCCCCCTCTCCCACACACTTTCCTTTTCACATGGAAGCAAGAGTAAGCTAGCTCAGCGCTGCTGGTCAGAGTTACATGTTAGATTCCTGACCTGTCTATGGGGGGGGGGACGACTCACTGGCCTCTCTCCCTGCTGGCCCTGCTGTGACCTCGGGATCTAAATGTGAATGAATACTTTGTGTCTCCAAAGGTCTGAGGGCAGGAAGAAGAAGGGCTGTGGTGGGGGGTAGCAGAAAAGAGGAGTGATGGAGGAGGGGTACATCGGTAGCTAACAACTAAAGAAACTTTAAACAGCAAGTTAATCACAAACAGGAGTGACAGTTCATACTGCCTTCCGGCTATATCACAGCAACCCCTCCTACATCCTTTCAGAACTTCCCTAGTACATGCTCATCAAAACAGCCCATAGGTCCTCCACGGAGCATTTTATCTGACCCACCCCAAACCCCTGCGTTTCAAATTCCTGGGCCATTTTCAGGTAATCAGGTCGTGGTTTTTCGAAAGTGTTTTCTAACAGAAAAAAAAGAACAGAATAATGCACAAAAAGGCTCAAAATTTGCTTTTTGTGCTTTCAGTATGAAAGTAAAT